GAAACCTCGCAGAAATTGCTCGGATGCAATTTAACCTCATCTGGTTGAGTCGGTCTCAGGATTACGTAAGAGTTCATGTTTGAGCTTGGGCTGATGCTAGAGCTCAGAACGGGCTAAAATTTACAGCTTGCCGTGGCTCTCCGATAATATAGTAAAATAAAGGACTTACAAGCGATAACAGCTACCAATACGAGCACGAATACAGCGAACGTGTTGATTTTCGAGAGCATGTTGGCTGCGGAAGGAGAACTGATACAGAACTGCGCCTAACACACGCTTTTATACGCACATTCTTCAACTTTTTCACCATCGAAACATCTCAAAAATATTCATTGTATACTGTACAATTATCAACTCTATTGTATTTCGAAAAAAAAGTTATGAATTTTTGCAATGCAATTGTTCAGTCGAATACAATGGAACGAGTTTCGCATCTGAATGAACCACAACCGGAAATTAGGTTCATATTTTTCGATTCGTATGATATTCTGCAATAATCATTTGCGCATTCATCCCTTATTGTGAGCGTCGGGCAACATTCAAAGAAACGTCATTTTTCGGCATTTGTCGTCATCACCACGGTGGATCGCATCTATCAAATTGCATTCCTTTCGATTCATTGAAGTTTCTTTAACGTTGATGTGGAGAAAATGAGTTTGATGATTGTTACGCTATTGTACATACAACGTTGTTTTGTTGGGGCATCAAATTTCAAGAATTAACAAAATAATCACTTGATATTCTAACTGAACTCATTGAAGCAACACCAGCACCATGCAAAGACTTGACAGAACCAGACGGCACCTCAAATTGTCAAGTTGTCGCATATCTTTGTAACAGTGTCGAATATTACAATCTGATGACGCAGCAATGTCCAAAAACATGTGGTAGATGCCCTGGCCAAACGGTCACCTCAATACGTAAGTTCACTGCAATTTTTTTCCCAAAATTCGGAGTCCGGCTGCACAAAAATTTCTCACATTCAGCAATATTTGTGTCATTTACTTCCTATACTGCGAATCGTGCCCACATCAGACTTTCTCTTTTTTTTNGGATTCGGACGGTGTTTCGAATTGCGCCGAGGTGGCTTATCTCTGTGACAATCAAGAGTACTATTCGTTGATGACGCAGCAATGTCCAAAAACATGTAATAGATGCTGAAATGTGTTCATCTCCACACACCCACTGCCCCATTTTTCGCTGTTCAACTTTATTTTGACTCTAAAGAAATGAATATTTTGAAAGATGTATTTCCATCATTCAGCTATTACCACTTGTACTGTCGTTTAAACGGTATGCTGAATAAATTGTTGATTTGATTCGATAATGCCTTTCCAGTATAATGCCTTGCTGATTCACATTTTGTATCTAAGCAGATTCATTTCCTTAGAGCAGTGATTTCCACGTTCGGGTGTTCCATTGCCCTTTTTGATAGTCTGGCAGGCCGCCCATGAGAGACCATGTGAGCCAATGTATCAAAGAACTTACGAAATAATTGTGACTGTTTCTGACTGACTTTTGTTCAGAATTGGACGAGCTAAAGTTACTCAGAAAATAGTATGAAGAAGAGTATGTTCATGGGTGAGCTGCGTTTAGATATACGAGTGAAAAATACGCCATCACTGTGGTATTCTATCATAACTGACAATTGCACGAAATACTAATTTCCCGACCCCTCCATTACCCCTTGACACCTCCAATTTACCCAAAATGGGTAATGTCACCTCTATGAGAACCGCTGCCTTAGATGCATATTACCTTTATTATGTTATCTTCAATCGTAATTACATTGGACAATAATCCATTATGTGTACAGTAGTTATCCATGGTCAATTCATCACTCTTCGTTCCACTCTTGTTAGAAATTTCTCTCTTAACCATTGGAAATCTTATTTCTTCCACATGCGGTTTCGAATAGAATAAGAGGCGAGCAAGTCATCAAATAGGACATTTTGAAAACATCTTGCACACATTACCTGATGTTCAGATATGTAAAGAATTGGTAGTGAGAGGACAGATTGTAGCATTGCAATCTCAAGGCCATATGCACTTCGAAATCCATCTAGAATGCTTTTCCAAATTTTTCCAGACATCAGCTTACACGACCCATTCACATGTAGATACAACGTAGGTCAGAGTAGATTATACACATGATGCTACAATGATGGTCACAGTAGATTATACAAACGATGCTAGAAGCGTCGCATATACAACCGAACCACCTCACAAGTCTATTGTATTGCTTTAGAAAAAAACTTGTAGAAAAGTTTATTGCATTGCGGGTTCATTTTCCTCTAATGAACAGTCATTTCATCACACCCTCATCGGAACATTCTATCACTGAGGAGTTAAGAAACCAGTGAATCGCATCTTCGAATCACTTGATCCGATGTTCGCTCCCCAGCCACTTGCAGATGATCCTCCAAAACTTCCTCTCACTGAACTGCTCCATCCAGCATCCGACGACCCTCCCCATCCACCAGTAGAAGGAGCACATTGAACATCTGCAACGTGGAACATATTGATAGCATCATATTTTAGTAAGTTAACGTCCATTACTTCATTGCGAGATTTTTTATTCCTTGCACTGCAACAATATCTCTCGATATTGTTACTTTACCTAATGCAAGAGAAGTCCATCCAGATAAAACGTCTCAATTGATGAAGAATTTCTCTCAGCTTCCTAATGACACGAGATTGAATTGATTAAATGGTGAAGGTTCGGTAGGTATAGGAGAGTTTCAGATGTATCGAACACGAAGCAATAATAGCACAGAACCGTGACCGGTCAATCTGACTAAAGACATTTTGCCTAACGACAGTTTGCCTAAAGACACATTGCCTAACGCGCAGTTTGCCTAAGGAACAGTTTGCCTAACTTACGGTTTGTCTCGCAGAAATCGCTCAGTGCAAGTTAACCTCATCTGCTTAAATCGTAAGCGTTCATATTCAGCCTCAGGTTGAATTCACAGATTGCGTCTGTTGCCGTCTGACAATATAGTAAAATAAAGGACTTACAAGCGATAACAGCTACCAATACGAGCACGATTACAGCGAACGTGTTGACTTTCGAGAGCATGTTGGCTGCGGAAGGAGAACTGATACAGAACTGCGCCTAACACACGCTTTTATACGCACATTCTTCAGCTTTTTCACCGTCGAAACATCTCAAAAATATTCATCGTATTCAGTGCAATTATCAACTCTATTGTATTTCGAAAAAAAAAACTTATGAATTTTTGCAATGCAATTGTTCAGTCAAATATAGTGGAACGTGTTTCGCATCTGAATGAACTACAACTGGAAATTCGATTCGTATTTTATCCGAATTAATTTTTTTTTCAGCCAACAGCTCATAGTGAACTCTTCTGTAAGCATTCAACTGTTTGTCGTCCATACGACTCAAAGAATTGCGTTTTTTTTGCAGTTGTAAAACTTTTGCAAGATAATTCTGACTAGAAGTCTCATTATCAATTCCCGTCCTTTTGTAAGTGCTTCGGCGTTAACATATTTTGTAAACCCACTCAAAGCAACCAGCACTATCAAATAAATCATTCAATACTACCAAAACACTCATTTTGGAAGGATCTGGCAATTTCAATTGAGCATGACTTGAAGTTCGATGACCACATCCGTCTCAAAAAAAGCGTTTAATTATCTAATGCATCATTTTATGGGGAATGCTGATTCTGAAGATGTCTTATGGTGAAGATTGTAATGTGACTTGGACGAACCGGTTCCCATTTAGTTCGCACGTTATGCGTGGAAAAAGTAAATTATTGTAGGAGAATTTTGTATTGTAGGAGAACCATTGAACGGAGTCCCAACATCGAGGGCAAATCTCGGGAATATGCTTCAAGTTCTAACCCAATTCTCATTCTTTTCTGCTGCTCTCATATCGCTCTCGTTCCTTCACCGATTATTTTAAGAAATTCTCATTCTCTTACAATACTATTTTGAAAATTTTTCATTCTTCATCAGCAGTTTTTCTTGCATTAGTCTCATTCTTTTCATGTGTTGTTTTGCATTGTTATACAGATTCTGAAATGCGGGCTGCAACAACAAGCAAATTCGCTTCATAATAAAATACGTTCTTCGTTCGTGCAATGCATTTTTCGTAACTCGTCACCAAGTGCTTTTACTTTGCCAAATCCGTAAAAAAAGTGCTTTTAAATCTTCAACAATTAATGAAAAATTAAAATGTGACCAATTTCCTTTGAGATAGTGAAATTTCTTTAGCTAGTAGATGGTATTAACTTAACCTGAATGAAATTTACCACATATAGTGTACGTTCACGAGCGCATTGCGCTGAAATTCTCGGTACTTTTGTGCGAAATATAGTTTTATTGTCATTGGAGTATATTAAGCCGTGATTTGTTTAATGTTTTCGGTTATTTCAATGTATTTCGATTTGTTGATTTTAGTTGAGTGCCGTATTCTGCAATGGCTAACCGCACCGTTAAGGATGCGGTGACAGTGAAGGGAACAAACCCGCAATATTTGGTTGAAAAAATCATCCGTACGAGGATATATGACTCGAAATATTGGAAGGAAGAATGTTTCGCTTTAACAGGTATCAAGATTTTCGCATTTTATCCTGCTTTCAGTGGAATTAATGATGTCTGAAAGTGGGCCAGTTCTAAAATGAGTCTATCTGAAGCGTTGTGAAATTTTTTGGATCGTAAAAATTATAGCAACCATTTGGCTCATCTTAAGAATTTACTAACAATTTCTAAACGATGTCTAGTTTTCAGTCCTAATTTCGGTGGTTTTTTTTTGAATTTTAATGGAAGGATGTTACTTTTAGCCGAACTCATTGTGGACAAGGGAATGGAGTTAAGGTACGTTGGAGGAATATATGCGGGAAATGTGAAACCAACGCCATTTCTGTGTCTCAGCTTGAAGCTGCTTCAGATTCAACCCGAAAAAGATATTATCGTGGAATTCATCAGGCAAGAAGACTACAAGTGAGTTCAGTTTTGATCCCGTTCCCTTGTGATGTCCACGATTTTTCAATGAACTTGCTGATTGTGGTTGTTGAAAGTGACTTCATTTGCATGGGATGCCCACTTGTGTTTGATAAGATTGCTGTGATGTTGTAATTAATTAAGATTTTCAATTCGACGTGTTCGAAGTAATACCTAGAACTGCATGGAGAAATGACGCTCTATCGAAGCTTAATTTGTAGATGTTTGGAGAATTTGTGTTGCGTTGTTTGGACCTGTCTTTTTGAGAGGCTCAGATTCACGATCTCCCTGTATATTCATAAATTTTCAGGTATATACGTGCCTTGGGTGCTATGTATCTCCGACTGACGTTCAGCTCAATTGAAGTGTACAAATATTTGGAACCACTTTATAATGACTACCGGAAGTTGAGATATATGAATAAAGAAGGAAGTGAGTTGATTGTTTGTTCATACATCTTCCTGAATGACTTCAAATCTTTGGGATGTGAGAGATCACGAAACCAATGTTTGCATTTGCTGTCACGATGCGTTGCTATTTTACAGGATTTGAGCTCATCTATATGGATGAATTTGTGGACAATTTGTTACGAGAGGAACGTTATTGCGATATACAATTACCACGACTTCAAGTAATTTTTCAATATTCTCAACGAGAAGTTTATAAAATTCATTTATGATTCTTGTGACGAATGACTGAATACTTTAAGAAAATGTCGGGTGTCTGTGCTGATACATAGTATATAAGGTATTGGTTTTGAGCATTGCTATAGAGATTTATGATGTTCGATGTGAGATTGCTTTGATTTTAAGGGTCGTCAAGCTCTGGAACAAATCGGTGAGCTACAGCCGTACGTAAGTGCCCTGGATGAAGACTTAGAGAAACTCTCATCGTCAGATTCCGAGGAAGATGAACGCGTGACGAGGAAAAAAGAACGTCCAAAGGTTAGGAGATTAGTTTTTATTGTTTTCCTTTGAACGTTACTGTTTGTTACAAGTTTTGTTGTTGTTATTCAGTTGTTATTGCGTATTATGGCGTTGCTTAATCGTTCGTGATCTCGACTTTGCAGCTTGTCTCACGGCGACGTAGCCATTCGAGGGAACGCGAAAGGGAGAGGGAAAGAGATCGGGAACGTGAGAGGGACAGAGATAGAGAACGGGACAAGGACAGGGAACGAGAGCGTGAACGGGACAGAGATCGAGTCAGGGAAAGGGAACGAGAACGGGAACGCGAGAAGGAGCGAGAAAGAGAGCGTGAACGGGAGAGGGATCGCGATCGGAACAAAGATCGAGATCGACGAAATCGATCACCGGACACTCGCGATCGCGACAAGGACCGTGGAGACAGAGGTAAAATATTTCCATATATCCAACAGTTTTCTGCTCCTCATTCTAGCCGACTGTGCGCAAAACATATCCCGTTAACAAAATGTGACCCGTTACGAAGCATCAATTTAGAACTATTGGAATTTCTGTGATTCGTTTCCACTTTGTCGTATTCTCGGTTTCATTTTACTGATGAGATGATTTTTAAGATAAGCGAGATCGTGAGAGGGATCGTGATCGTGAGAAGGGTCGAGATCGCGATCGCAGGTGAGCAACAATAGCGACATGTAGTGCCACTCAGCGGGCGCAAGATGATTTCGTATTCGTATATCTTTTTTTCATTTTCAACCGACACATTCATTTTATGTATTTTGAAGCAAGTTTTGAGTTGTTGTTGTT